TCATTTCTAACAGCTACCATTTCTAATTTTAGACTTGGGATATTTGTCTACTTCCATTATCCTGTGTCCATCACTAACGCAGGACCGGTAGTCACGGTGGTAGGTTGTGTCCATTGGGAACAACCTACTCTATCAGTGTTTGGGGAAACACTGGCGAGGAGGATTATATTTTTTTAGCCACCGTTATCCCAAGATCTTATTTATGATGCCTAGGCGGACTTGCCAGAGGTTCACCTCATTACAAGTCTTCCCCACATCATCCCCACACATGGCATGTCACGCGATCATGACCATGGGAAATTTTTCTAGTACCCTAGCTGTCATCATGATAGCCCAGTACGAAAATTGAATGATTGATGCATTTCGATCATCTCTAGCAGCTAGCATTACTATTTTTAGACTTGGGACATATGTCTACTACCATTATCCTGTGTCCATCACTAACACAGGACCGGTAGCCACGGTGGTAGGTTGTGTTCATTGGAAACAACCTATTCTATCAGTGTTTGGGGAAACTCTGGCGAGGAGGATTATTTTTTTTAGCCACCGTTATCCCAAGATCTTATTTATGATGCGTAGGCGGACTTGCCAGAGGTTCACCTCATTTTAAGTCTACCCCACATCAACCCCACACATGGCATGTCACGCGATCATGACCATGGGAAATGTTTCTAGTACCCTAGCTGTCATCATGATAGCCCAGTACGAAAATTGAATGATTGATGCATTTCGATCATCTCTAGCAGCTAGCATTACTATTTTTAGACTTGGGACATTTGTCTACTACCATTATTCTGTGTCCATCACTAACACAGGACCGGTAGCCACGGTGGTAGGTTGTGTTCATTGGAAACAACCTATTCTATCAGTGTTTGGGGAAACACTGGCGAGGAGGATTATATTTTTTTAGCCACCGTTATCCCAAGATCTTATTTATGATGCCTAGGTGGACTTGCCAGAGGTTTACCTCATTACAAGTCTACCCCACATCATCCCCACACATGGCATGTCACGCGATCATGACCATGGGAAATTTTTCTAGTACCCTAGCTGTCATCATGATAGCCCAGTACGAAAATTGAATGATTGATGCATTTCGATCATCTCTAGCAGCTAGCATTACTATTTTTAGGCATGGGACATTTGTCTACTACCATCATCCTGTGTCCATCACTAACACAGGACCGGTAGCCACGGTGGTAGGTTGTGTTCATTGGAAACAACCTATTCTATCAGTGTTTGGGGAAACACTGGCGAGGAGGATAATTTTTTTTTGCCACCGTTATCCCAAGGTCTTATTTATGATGCCTAGGCGGACTTGCCAGAGGTTCACCTCATTACAAGTCTTCCCCACATCATCCCCACACATGGCATGTCACGCGATCATGACCATGGGAAATTTTTCTAGTACCCAAGCTGTCATCATGACAGCCCAGTACCCACCATTTTCTAGACTATACTAGTATGGACCACATTCATCGACCGTCTGAAGACTCCCCGTGTTTTCTCAACACGCGTTGTACGATAATCAGATGTAGTCGATGGTGTTGCACAATGGATATAGGTTATTTCCGATGCATGAGTCTACATGAGCCACTCATGTCTCTGAACGCCAAAAGCACATCTTTATTTAGCACAGTAGATGGACTTGTGGCGCATTGAGGGGGGGGTGATGTGGAGGACACCTGTCGGAATATATAACCAACCATTTGTGCACATACAAAGTATAGGAAGATATGATTCCTCGGGGTAACTTGCCATCGGGAGAAGTGGCAAGTAAAGCACCGAGGAGATTTGTCTCTTCCGAAGTCCATGGCCGCTTGCCGAGGGAAGAGATGGGGGAGCCTCCGGCTCGCCCCTCTCGACCCTCTGGTCACACTCTTTTCTACCTCTCTCCTCGTTACATCTCACGAAAGGAAATAGCCACCCTTGGCAGTGGGAGAATACTGCCAGAGCACCGGCCTCTGTCTCTGACAGGGACTAGTGTCCTCATATCGCCGAAATTAAAAAAACTCTGCAGCTGTCGACGTATCTGAACGAGGCGGTCACGACTATCGTTGTTTCACGTTCCCATTCTTTCTCGAACAGAAGTTATCGCACAAAACGTAATTGGACAAATTGTTGTACACGGACCGTATAATCATGACATTGTTGTTGTTGTTGTTGTCTTCACATTAAATGCCAAAATCTAGCAAACAAAGACTCTCAGCCCGTCGTCACGAAAGTGCTAGAGCCAACTGAGGATCTAAAGAACACGCCACGGGTCGATGTCGCCCGCATGCTCCGGTGCCACTGCTCCATCCGGCGCCGCTGTAGTCAGCCCGAGCAAAACGCCACTCGACCTGCTCCGTCCGTACACGCTCTCGTTGCTGTCTTTCCCAGTCCGTTCCTCGTTTTCTCCCTCATTGCACTCAAGGTTCTTGGTCTGAAAACAATACAAATTCTCGCGCCGAATAGTCAACCAGCCCAGTTCAGCTCGTCGCCACCTGCTCCCTCCTCCTTTGATGGCGAAGCCAGGTTACTGAGGCAATACAGCTCCGTCTAGCAAACCTAGGGCCGTGTAGTGCCCGTCCACCTTTCTGATGGTGTCTGCCTCCGCGCACAAAAATGAGATGGGCATCACTGCCTACGCCGACGGCCAGAAAGGCCCGCGCATCTAATTTTTGCCGCCTGACCCCATCAGTGCCGACCCAACTCCACCACCACACGCACGCCGCGCGGCGGATGCGCAGCAGCACGACGGTCTCGGTCATCCCTTGAGGGTGAGTCTAGCCCTGCTCGCCAGAAAGACCCCCCCCCTTCGCTACAACCCATGTCTAAGCATTCTAATGGTGTAACTTTATCGAACACTCCCTTCCCTTTTACTTCCTTGTTTGCCTCCACAACATTGTGGCGTCGTCGGCAGGATTGTGGCGTCGTCGGCATTTGGACTCCAGTCCTTCGCAGTTCGCGTTGCTCTTCTGTGCTTCTTCTGTCCTCTTTGTTTTGTTTCAGTCATTTATTTTTGTACCGGCTTCAGAGGGGGGGTACATTATTTGCTCCGTTATGAGCCAAGGTCCCTGAAGTGGTGAATGACCGTTCACCAGCGGAGGTAATTTCGCTCTAACTGCAATGTGGCAAGGAATGGCCAAGCGTGGCTGACGTTAGTCAGCCTTGCTAGGGTGAAAGGTGAGAGAGTGAGCCTTGGTGGGCTCCCTCATGCTCCGGCTGGTCACAGCAGGCGGAGGTTCTTTCTTTGTAAACATCTGCAGACCTGTAGAACTGTGTTCGTAGGGTCTCCGATCTTCACTGGTTGCATGTGCGTCAGTACCGTTAGGAAGATACCTATATCCAGGTTTCCACACTCTGGCTCATTTTTCTGTTTGTGGAGAGCCATGAGCATGTTTGTTTATCCTTCAGCTTGATGGGCTTTCGAGTCCATCCATGTACACGTGATGCGCCGCCCATGCTTGGTGGCGCTCTTTTATGTCCATGACTTGTGGGTTTTGGTGAGCGCTGTGGCCTTTCTTCCACGACGATTCGATTGCTGGCAGGGTCGCGTCGGAACGCAGCGGCCTCTGAGAAACAGCTCTGGCCTCGTCCATGCTATTCGATATACTCGTAGCATAGTATGATGGTTGAGATGTTATGTACGTACGTACGAATATTGCAGTGATGAGATGCGGAGGAACAGGAACTTTCTACATATTTTCCTTGGTTGTGAGAGGCTTTTGGTGAGGATTCAGAGAGATTCGTTGTGTGAGAAAGCATGAAGGCGTGACTCGATACCGTGATGGTTTGACGAGCACGAGCACGCCCCCGATTAATACAACACGACAACACGGATACAACACGTCTGTACGACTTTACCTACCCCTACGGCCCGTCATGGCCGAGCTGCTCTACACTCCCATCGCACACAACTGAGCCACCCGAATTATCGATCACGCTAGCGATGACACGTCGTCTACGAGATTCGCGGTCGAGCTTGGTTTAGGAGTATCGCTTTGCGGCGATCGAGAGCAGGGTCAAGATGGCTACCAGGCGCGAAGATGGAGCCCGCCAAGCAGCGGAGGCCCGCTAAGCAGCGGAGGCCCGCCGAGCAGCGGAGGACGCCAGGATCGAAGAACAAGATAGCTCCCGCAGCGTCGACAAGAGCGCGCGGTTTGAAGCAGACGAAGTCAACAGGAGTCCGGACGTCAGCTGCAAGGTGAAAGCAGGAGAGGGTTAGATAAAAGTCATGCGAGAGAGCGAAGAGTACGAGGTAGGCCAGCAGCACGGAGCGCGCCTAGAACCATCGACCACGCCCGCGGACGACATCCCCCTGACCATTGCGCGAGCCCCCGAGGGGCGGCTCAGCGCATTACAGCAGCACCACTTCCGCTACTAGGGTCCCAGACCCGCTCAGGCACGTAATGAAATGATCATGTCCTCTGTCCGAAGACGAATATGGCCTTGTTTTGTGTTCCGAAAGTTTTTTTTGTCTTGTCTTGTGTCTGAACCGTTTCCTGTGTTCGGAATTCTGCGAAATGTGTGATGTTGGGATGAAAGAGAGAGTACGGTTGTCCCGAACGAGATAACTGAACGTGTGAGGGGTTATCAAGCCACCAACAGCACGTATGAGGGGATGTTATGCTTCCAAGAGTTTAGTTGCCAATCGTGCAACGAAAAGAGTATGAGGGGCTTTTATCACACCAAAAGCAGTACGGTAGTAAAAAAAAAAAAGAATGATGCGTAACTTTGTTTGTGGGACTACCACGTCACCACCGACACAACAGCAAAGCGTGGACATATTACGCATGTGAAAGACAGTCAGAATTCTTGACGCAAGCACGTAGGATTTCATGGCAAGTTTGTAGGAGATGTTGGGTAGAATTTCGCTGGAGAGAACAGCAATATGCGTGGCAGGACCTCGGCGAAAAGCGAGACTTGACCCAAGACTGACGTTTTCCGACTAGATCGCAGAGAAAAATAGTCCGAGGCATCACTCAGCCAAGAAGCGAGGTTGACCCAGAAACTAAATTCCCGACTAGATCGTAGAGGACAGCAATAAGAGGCAGTACTCAGCATGACGCGGAGCAAGATCCACCAAATGCGTTCCTCCGAAGAGATCACTCAAGACCATTTCGGTGGCACAACACGAACTTTGAAGTTTCACGGCGTGAGCAGAAGAGAAATTTTGGATGTCCAACTGTATTTTATTTTGTTTTGGTACAGCAGTCACCCCTGTGCAGAACCGGGGGGAGTGTTGTGGAATGTGATTCTCCTCAGGAGTGCTGTTTTATAAGGAACTGATTGTGCCACCATCTTCCCTTCCGAACGCGCGACCTGCCCTCCACCGCTGCCGAGTCAATCCTTCTGGAGCGACAATTGTGGTCTCCCCCAACGAAGGCGGACGATTTGCTGACGATGCTCCAGCCGCGGCCAGCCGGACGAAGAGCACAGAAGGCGACCGCGGCGGAGGCGAGCGAAAATCCACGGGGGAGAAACAATGGCAGGGGCAGTGGTCCAATGCGCTGGGGTTTATGGCTGGAAAAGTAGGCGCATTGAGGTTCATCTTGAATTTGAGTTAGTTTGAGATTTGGCGTTTGTTTTGTTTGATTTGAGCTTGGGTTTGGTTTTTCAGATCTGATTGAAGTGTGGATGAGAGGATCAGAAGTACTGTTATGATTTTCGGCACCTCTCGTATTGTTTTTCGGCTTGACTCCGACCCCTTCACAAAGCAGGGGGGCGGATCCTCGGAGCAGGGGGGCACGTTATATTCTTTCAAACGAAATGGCGTTGCTGACATTTCTTCACCGAACATTCATGATATATTTTGAGTATTTCAGGGAGATATTACTTCTTCGCGTTTTACCTGCGGACGAAGGTTTGGTGGATTAATGGAATAATTTGTCTTAGGATTGCATACATCTTGGTAATGGTAGGATGTCTAGCTAGGCGGATTTAGAGACGCCCCGAGATATTGTGACGAATTGGTGGTGAAAGGAAAGGCGTCTTCGAACGAACGGCGTTCGTCATATTTTTCTAGATGAAAGAGTTTGAGTTGAGAATTTTCGGAAGAGAGCGAGTCTCGAGAGTGATAGGCGTGTGTTGGTATGCTATTTGGATACTTTTGTCGTGTTTGAAGTATTTTCGTTTTATTGGTTTTGATTGTGTTTTGGGATGAACTGGTATGAAAGGATGACTTTTATATTTTGCCGGAGTATGACGATGCATACGAGCAGGGGGGCTATTCGATATACTCGTAGCATAGTATGATGGTTGAGATGTTATGTACGTACGTACGAATATTGCAATGATGAGATGCGGAAGAACAGGAACTTTCTACATATTTTCCTTGGTTGTGAGAGGCTTTTGGTGAGGATTCAGAGAGATTCATTGTGTGAGAAAGCATGAAGGCGTGACTCGATACCGTGATGGTTTGACGAGCACGAGCACGCCCCCGATTAATACAACACGACAACACGGATACAACACGTCTGTACGACTTTACCTACCCCTACGGCCCGTCATGGCCGAGCTGCTCTACACTCCCATCGCACACAACTGAGCCACCCGAATTATCGATCACATGCTACCTTGATTGCGATCACGTGACCCTTGCTCGTGCGTACAGACTACCTTTCCTTCCTATCCCTTCGGTGGCAAGCCCCGTGCCTATCTGATCATGCCATCGAAATGATGGCGATGGCACGCTGCTGCTGAGTGGCCACTTACTTGATGGCCTGCCGTAGCATGTTGCTGTCTGCTACACTCCATCCAGCATGTTCTGTACGTGGTAGGTTGTACAATTTTGTGCAATCTGTCTCACCGCCTGCTTTTTGCTTCAACAGGGGAATCGATCGAACAATAAACCGGCCGCGGGTGTGTGTTTTCTGTGCAGACCTCGAGGTCGAGGGAACAGCCTTGGCATCTGTCATGCGTGCCTACCCGTCCACATGGTGACGGTGAGCTGCCAACCGGCCCCTTAGCTGGCGTGACATTGTGCCACATATATCTGCTGTCATCCGTGGTTGCGCATTGGCGCAATCGGCAACGTAAGTCTAGAAAGAAATGATCTATTTCTTGCCTGGAAATCGGAGACATGGAGAGCAAAACATTCTGGCGCGGGGTGTTTCTGTTGGAACACCTCGAGCTCAACCCTGGTGTTTCTGTTGGAACACCTCGAGCTCAACCCTGGTGTTTCTGTTGGAACAGCTCGAGCTCAACCCCGGTGTTTCTGTGGGAACACCTCGAGCTCAGCCCTGGAGATGGAATGTTGCCGAATGGCCGCTTAACCGACAGACTGTGGCCCACATCGGCGGCCACAAATGCTGCCGAGTGGCCGATTGACAGTGGTCGAATGTGACAATGTTTTGCTTTCCGGAGCTGCGCGTTCTGTTTGCAACTCCTCTCAATGACAGGACGCAGACGAGAAAGGAATCTGTCACGGAGTGTTTCCCTAACACCTGCTCAGCGTTGTTGCTGGCCATACATCATGACCCATGGCGGTGGTCTCACCGCAACAATGAACTATTATTTTGGCCGTGGCCAGAGACGTAGGCCGACTAAACTACGCCCAGAGCAGAGCCAGGAGATTGGACCGGCGGCCGTGGATGCTGCCTGCACATGCATGCTTACATGATGCGGGTGATGCCTGCTACTCGCTGTCAGTACAGGTGACATCAGGATATATATGGATATTTTGTATTTCGTTGTGGGTTGCTGTGACTAAGATTATAGCCCCCGTCCTCACTCTCGACTTGTAAGCGCGGAACGCGGGCTAGGTATGAAGAAGATAAAACATGAAATCCAGCAACAACTGTCAGTGAGCCAGCAAGGAGCAGCGAACCCGCTCCATTCCCTTTTATTTCCTTGTTCCTCCATAACATTGTTCTACGGAGGAGCCTGGTGTGCTTGGAGGAGGGGAAGACGGAACCCCGGGGGGGGGAGGAGACACCCCTTGACTGAGTACGGAGGGCAGTATGGGGGATGCTGTATGCCGATCATGCTGGCGTCGTATCGAGGTCTGCAGAAAGACTGGCGAGTACGATGACTATCATCGTTGAGGTGTTCGGGGAGTTCGGGCTAACGGTGTGGGAGAAGAAGACAGACGGAGACGCTCCTCCTGATTGATGCGCGCGAAGGACAAGCCGACTACAACACCATAGCCCCCCCCCGCCTCGACGGCTGTCCATCGAAGCCGCAGGACAGATTTACGCCCAGACGACCGATTTCCTGTACCTCGGTGGCCTCGTCAACGAACGAACATGGCGACCTCACCCGGGAGATCAACTACAGAACCGGGGATGGATGTCTGACCGGCGGCGGACAGCCCGGAGTTCGCCACGCCGGCGCCGAGCACCAACAACCTCGCCACCTGCTTCGTAACCTGAAGCACCTTGTCCGGCGTAAAACGTTCTATGGGCCATCTGCCGTGAAACCAAGTCAAATCCGGCAGGCTGCGGAAGTCCGTCATTTCCACGCCGTAGAGCTCGAGCAGATCAAACATGACCGACTCGTCAAACCTATCAAACCCGGGCAGCTGCATATCCTCTCATCACCACCAACATCATCCATGGAGTCCTGGACGCTGTCTCCGTTGCGCTGGAGACTAAGCCGTTTGTCGAGTAGTACCGTCATCATGGCCACGGCCCTTTCCGGCTGAACTTCGTCAGGCGTCAGGCGTGAAGCCCGTGTTGAGGAAGTACCGTAAGGTTGCGGGTTAGCGCACCCCCGTGCGATCGTTTTTTAAACATTTTCGCTATTTAATTTTCATCGCACAGGGGTGCGATGACTCCACACCTTGTGCGGAAATTGATTAAATCATTGGGATTGATACACAACCGGTCGCCCCGGTGATCTAGTGGGTAGCCTCGTAGCCTACTAAGGGCCAGGTCATGGGTTCGAGTCCCGAAAAAGTGAGTTTTTTCTCGCTAATTAAATCCTGGTCTCCGTTGGAAGCGACGCGCTGCAAAGCTCGTGTTGACCACTCCTAGAGCCGGAGTGATTGCCGGGTATGCCCGTATTTGTGTCCGGTGACTAGAAAGTCTCGTTGATTGCTTGTATTAGATCCGCAGGACAAACGCACGACAGACAGAGGAGAAAGAGAGTGCCCCACACAGGCTGACGCAGCATGGGAGCACCGCAGACTCATCCAAGTCTACTACAACAGGTACCACAGCGGGCCCCTTCATGTATGGAACACAGAACCGTTCCTCAGATCCTTCCTACATACGCACACACACGAACACCCTCCCTGGTTCCTTACGCTAGTAATTAGCCATTACCGTGTGTTGCTCAACGTACTCGGACACCACCGAAAAACCAAACAGAAAAAAAGGCGTTGCAAGGGAAAACCCGGTCTCCGAGCCAAAAACCCTCGCAATGATTCCACGACTGCCAAAATAAAACATCATCGTTATCATCTCAACTATAATACTCCAATTCCCTACAAACGAAGGCCAAACACAGCTCTACGTTGGCATTTTGTTTCAGCTGCTCCAATTCCCCTTCATGGCGACATACCAAGCGGACCAAACTACATCGATGGTTCGAATGATCATCTCAAAATTTTCAGGGAAAAACAAACGGTAGTGTTATATACGACACCGGTGTCGTACTTACTTATATACGACACCTACCATTTCTTGGCCCACAGGGCTCCAATCGGCGTACAAAAAAATGCGCCGTGTAGCCACAGCCCGCAGCTATAAGGCCATACCATTTTGGGTCAAATCGGCCAAGTGGTTGAAGAGATATCTTAGAANCAATCGGCGTACAACAAAATGCGCTGTGTAGCCACGGCCCGCAGCTATCAGCCCATACCATTTTGGGTCAAATCGGCCAAGTGGTTGAAGAGATATCTTAGAAAAAGGGGGCTCAGCAGCATCGCAGGGTTAGGTTCTACCACAAATACGACTGTAACTCCGCCCCCAGAGCTCCAATCGGCGTACAACAAAATGCGCTGTGTAGCCACGGCCTGCAGCTACCAGCCCATACCATTTTGGGTCAAATCGGCCAAGCGGTTGCGGAGAAAGAGCCGAAAATGGGGGGCTCCGCAACCTACCGGGGGGGTGTCAGCGACGTTCCGGTCATAACTCCT